CCCCCCAAGCACCGCCCCGGGACCCCTCCGGGCTCCAGCGAGTCAGACGAACCCAAAGAGGGGCTGGCACGGGCAGTGACAACCCCCCCAGGAGTCACCCTGCCCCTCCCACCCCCAAAAGCCACAAAGACCATTTAAAAACAGGAAAGTTTCTTAATTTACAGCAAAAGCCCCAGGAAGAAGCGCCCTGCAGCGCTGCACGTTCACAGGTGACTTACAGAAAGCCCAGGGAAGGTTGTGCCGTGGCTGTGCTCTGCTCCTTCCCCCCTGGAGCAGCTCCCTTTGGCTTAAACACCATCAAACCCCTGAGCCACCAACTCCAGGTACTTCCCAGCAGGGTCTAATGTCACCTCCCAAACCCAGACCTCAAACGGTGGCAGCATCGAGCAGTATTTTGTCCTTACTCCTATATCTTTCTCCAATCCTAAACTCAAGATGTGGATTTGTTCCCCTCAGGTTTTTAAGGGCTAAAAAAAAATAGTGTGTTTTGCTGTTGTATAAAAGAGGTGGGATGATCTGCCCGAGGCAGGAAGCAGTTCCCACCCATCTGGTAATAACATCATCTGGTAGTAACACCCCAACATTACACCAGTGCAGGTGGAGAGAGAAGGAAAAGCTCTGACAATGCCTCCAAAACAGAAGGCCAAGGCTCACAGGTTCTCCAGCAAAGGTCACACCCTCAGTCCAAGCCCATCCCCACCAGTCCAGAACACACCACGGGGGCTGCAGCACGGAATTCCAGCGCCTCCCTGGGAGATGGGAACAGTTCCTGTGGGGAGCAGGGAGCCTGTGCTGGAGGTGTCTCACCTTTGGGCATCAGTGTCCATTGAACTGCTGCACAGGAGCAGAGTTTCATCTCTGCATGAAGTTCTTTTCCAGGGCAGCAGGAGTTCTCTGCAGGGAGTGGATGTTGCGCTTCACCCGGTCCTCCAGGCTGGAGGTGGAGGCACTTTCCAGCTTCAGGCGCCTGCAGGAAATGGAACCAGAGAAGAATCAGCAACTTCTTCCCAAACGTTGCCCTGTTCCCAGCAGGATTCACCATCCCCAGGTCATCTACCTAAATTCATCTAACAGGGAAAGCAGCAGATTCTTCCCTGTCCAAGCCTGCACTGAACTGAGCACCTTCCAGCTCAGCTGGGACCAGATTCAACTCCTCCTTTCAGGTCAGGAAAAGTTTCAGTCTCAAGTCTCCTCCACCTTCCTGTTAATTACAAGTGCATCTGTCACAGGGGACTTGGTTGCTTTTCTGTGCAGCAAAGGAGGGAAATGCAATGTGTTCCTGCACTGAGGGCAGCTCCTGGGGGAGCTCAGGCTGGAAATGACCATGGCAGGAGGAGGAGACCACAGGGCTCCTTGTCCCCTCTCCTTTCACCACTTCAGCTCACACTGCTGCCCCTTTCTGAGCCACCTCCTCATGCCCACCTCCCTCTTCAGGCAACACATCAAGTCTGTCAGCTAAGCTGGTTTCTTCTGAGTGGGGAAACACACTTAAATACCCCCTTACAAGAGATTTGGCTCATGGAGAAGATCCATTGTGATTTTAAGCCACCCTGGGCAGCATCAGCAATTAACCAGACATTCTTTTCTGATTAATTTATAGAGAATTAGATGCTGCAGCCACTCCAAAATATACACCACTGGTCATAGGATCTCTCACACACCACTGCACTGTCTGAAAGGCCTTTGCCTGCACATGGGACCACATCATTGGAAATGGTTTTATTTCTCCTTGAACAGAGGTTTCAGTCCCTCTTGCTCTTGGCACACAGACTCCCAGTGGACCTGCAGGCCTAGAACTGCTCCAAGCTCCTACAACACCACAACTTCTTATTATCTGCGTGGAAAAGACTCTGGGGCCTCTCTACAGGATGGCAAAAAATGACTGAGCAGGCATTTCTGAGTGTGACAAGCAAGGTCATGATAGGAGCAGTGGGAAGCCCCATCCTTGGCAGTGTTGAAGGGCAGGTTGGATGGGGCTTGGAGCAGCCTGGGCTGGTGGGAGGTGTCCCTACCCATGCAGGGGGTTGGGACTGGATGAACTTTAAGGTCACTTCCAATCTAAACTATTCCAGAGAATTTAGGAGCTTCAGATGTCATTAGTTCTACTGTAAAATGCAGCAGGGACAGATCTTAGACCATGACCTGAAACACCCCAAGCCCTGAGGCCACCACTCACTGCTCAGCAGCCACGGGTCATGCAACCATGTCATAAAAACACTCACTGGAAGAACTTTCCATCTCGGGAGTCGAGCTTCTCTGCTTCCCTCTCCAGCTCCTCCTCCTTTCGGTGCTTCCTGAGGTTGTTTGCTCTCTCCTCTTCCCTCCACTTGGCATTTTCCATCATTTCCTGGCGTTTCCTCTCCAGCTCCTCCTGGGAGATCTTTCTGTTGTGCAGGAAACCCCCCGTTGGGAACCACTGGCATCACCCCCTCTTGCTTTCTGCTCTTTAAGGTGATTTATAATCCCCCCCAAGCCCCAAATTAGGACTGTTCAAGGTGGTTTTCCCTTTGGAAGCCCATCAGCAGAGCCTGTGTAGCACAGGCTTCCCTGCTCTGCTTCCCCACATCCCAAGAAAATTGGTTTCTCCCTCTTTCCAGCTTGTTTTTCATTCCCTGGTGAGATGAAGCTGCCCAGGTCAAGTTCTCCCGATGACAGTGAAACAGAACCTGCTAATGAACAGGCTGAGGGACAAGGAGTGACCTCACAGCCCTGCCCTGCAGGGGTGGGACACACCTGGAGAACCAGCAACCCTGGGAATTGCCTTGGGAAACCATCCAAGGCATTAACTGACAACCAAGCTCACAAGCACCAACCCAAGCACCTCAGGACTCTCCATCCATCTTCCTGGACATTCAACCCACTCTACTTTAGTTCCCGGGATAAAACGTGGCTCCCAGATCACACCAGTTGCTTCCCAGTCAGCAGGACAAGCTCCCTCCCAGAGCAGAGGGGCAGGATCTGGCTCACCTGGTATAGCCCGGGCTGTGCTGGCGGCGGTAGCTCTTTTTTGGGGAGGGGCTCCTGGCTCTGCCTTTCTCCTCCCGACTGTGGCTGCAACCCAGAAACAGCCTTTTCAGGACAAGATTCATATCCCACCTCTACACGTTCCCTGGGCTTTTTTGGTCTCTATCCTGAAAGCAAGATGTCACCACCAACTGCCCATTCTGGAAACAAACTCTCATCACTCCATAGGATGGGAAGTTCCCACCTGTTTTCACCCAGTTTTGGGTATTTCCTCAGCAAACAGGGGTACCTGGTTGTATCTGCCTGTGGTGCAGGTGGCTCAGCAGCCAGAAATGTCTTTTTAGAAGCACAAATCAAGCACCTAAAGGTGCACACAGGAGGAGGGTGCAACGACAGCACATCCCCTCCAGGAGGGAATCCTGTGGCTCCTGCCTTTACACCCAGAACTGGCGGAAAGAGCCTGAGCCAGAGGGATTCTGAGCCCGGAGAACCAGCAGCTCCAGGTTCCCATCCCCCGGGTTGGCCCCACTCACTGTTTGCTGTGCCTGGAAGGGGATCCCGAGTTCCTCTTGCTGGAGCGGCTGTGGCTCCGGGAACGCTCCCGGTGCCGCTGCGGGGCCCCTTCCTGGCCGGCCGGGCAGCTCCGGGGCCTCGGGCTCAGCTCCTGGAATCCAAGAGGCTCTTTCAGGAGAGGTTTTGGGTCTTGAGAGGGGACAAGGAGGGAGGAGGAGAGCTCGGGCGAGGGGCGCTGCAGGGAGGAACTTCGCTGGGCTTTGCTTTTCCTTCTCTCTCCTCTGGGGTCTCATTAAACCCGTGTCCAAGATCAGTTCTGCCTCGTGTTCAGCAACTGAACTGTCTCCAAATTTAACCTCAACTTCATTCTATTTAATCTCAACTTCACTCTATTTAACCTCAACTTCACTCTATTTAATCTCAAATTCAATCTATTTAACCTCAACTTCATTATTCACATCTCCAAATTTAACCTGACCTTGATTCTATTTAACCTGAACTTTATTCTGTTTAACCTGAACCTAACTCTATCATGTCTCCAAATTTCACCTGACCTTTCTTCTAATTTCATCTGAACTTCATTGTGTTGTGGTTGCAAATTTAATCTGAGCTTCATTCACCTGAAAATTATTATATTGTGCCTGCAAATTTCATCTGAACTTCATTTCATCTGAACTTTCTTCTCCTTCATCTGAACTTCATTCTATTTATCCTGAACCTGATTATCTCAGTCTCAAAACTTCATCTGAACTTTATTCCACTTAACCTGAGCTTTATTCTGTTTCATCTGAACTTTATATCATGTCTCCCTCAGAACCCTCCTGGAGCCAGGGAACAAACTCCCAAACCTTTGGCTCTTCCCTGCCCGGGGAACCAGCAGCTCTGCTGCTGGAATTGCTGTGTCACCCACAGACTCACTTGCAAACCATATCCTGGAGCTCTGGAAGGAGCAGGTTTCCAGGAACTGCTTGTCCTCTTCTGAGACCTGCAAAAAACCCAGGAGAGCTGGGAAAACAGCTGGAAGAACAACCTGCCAACACTGAAACGTCTTCAAAATAAACGACACAAAACAACAAAGTAACAACCCGGAAACATTTGGGCAGATTAGAAGCAGGAATCAGAAACAAAGCTCAGAAAGGGGACAGGAAAAAGCCAGATAACCAGGAAACAAAGTATTTTGACTAGAAAAGCCCCAAACATACCTGGTTTTGCCCCTCTCCCCATCACTGCTGCCACTGTCACTGCTGGAGCTGCGACGCCGACGTTTCTTGTGCTTCTTCTTCTCCTTCTTCTTCTTTTTCTTCTCTTTTTTATCCAAACTGTTTTGCAGCTACAAAGACACCATCTAATTAGCAGGATTTCCTTGGCCAGTCAGTATCACCAGGCAAAGGAGAAGAAATCTCTGTGGAAAGACTCCAGGAACAAAAGCTAAACCCTTTCACTTGCTCTTCCCTCAGAGCTTGGGGGAGTTTCCCTGGTAAAACCCCCAACTCTGCAGTTACTTTGTGGCATTAAATTAAAAATAAATCACTAGCTTAACAACCACTAAAAGAGTAGAAAAAGTAAAATAAGATTGACGCTG